CTAGAAAGAAATTTAGCAGGAGTAAGTACAAGGTGACCCATACAACCAAACCACAAATACACCAATCAGCTTAGTGGGGGGGGGGGGTAAAACGCCTGGGAATAATGATTGACCATGAGTTAAATATATTAACAATATACTTGGGGAGTTAGGAGGAAATCTTTCCTAATTTGTTCAAAATCATATACTATCTCCCTCTCGAATTATTTAACTACCATTTATTCTCTGTATGCTTATAGATTCCATTAGAATTTAACCTCTTTGTAAATACTAATTATTTCAATCATTGTACTGTGATGTATAAAAAGTTCAAGAGATAGAATTTCTGGATAATTAATCATTTTATTAATAATGCTAGCATATAATTAATAAAAAGTGTCAGTGATACTCTTGAATGCCAAAGACTCCTCATAGAATCCACACTTATATGCCCTTGGAAGAGTAGATGTTCCTGAGGGTAGCAATCTATTCTGATTGATTAACAGGTATTGAGAGAGAATGAATATTATAATGAGAGGCAGACCTATTCTAATGAAAGGCTGGGTAAGTGACTTTGATCATGTCATTTACTTCCAAATCACCCCCAGCCTTGAGGGTCTAATCAAAGAATGTGTCCCCCACCCAAACCTAAGTAGAACACAACAGGGCTCCCTCACCTACCTGGGGATCTCAGTGTTCAGATTGAAGAGAAAATTAATCCAATCTCATTATCAGCAATTTCTTTTAGATGCCGGTTTGGCTTAGTAGAGAATAAAAGTTTCAGAAAGGAAAAAAATCCTTTTTTGTGTCTTTCCAATATTAATAATCAGTTATTTAATAATCATTTATCTCAGTACTTGTATCCCTAGCACCCAGCACAGTGCCTAGAACATAGCATGTGCTTAATAAATCTTTGTTGAGAGAGAGAGAGAGAGAGAGAACATTTATTAAGCTCTTACTATATGCCAAGCATTGGGAATGCAAATACAAGCAAAAAGAAAAACCATCCCAGCCCCCAAAGAGCTTACATTCTAATGAAGACTCATTGAAGAGAGCTAAAAAGAGGGAAGGGTAAGGTACCCATGCAGGGGCAAGGTGAAGAAATAGTCTAAGGAATTATGGGCTGATCCAGGTTTGAAGTGAGACTTCCTCAAATAGAGGTTTGGAGAGAAACTCACCAAATAAGGGAGGAGGCCATAGGGGCAGAAGTGTTGCCAGAATGAGAAGGCTGCTTGGGTGGAAGAGAAGTTGCCTGGGGAGTCACAGCCAGGCGGACTTTGCTCTGAACCTGGTGCAGAGCTGAGACCTCTCCAGGATTTCTGACTGCAAGTTGCTCCTGTTTCCTAATACACTACTTTTCAGTCACCTCTGTGCCTTAGGAAGAATGGGGAAATTTGCCAGAATCTTTAAAAGAAAGAAAAATTAAAGGATGTTTCTTCAAGATAAAGTGACAGAAATGTCTGTTTAGTTAAGGTAGAGCAGACTAAGAGATTGTTAATGGCTGCCATCAGATAGATGATGAGATTTTAGAAGGAGGTTGATGTGATAAGCAGTAAGGGTTCTAGTTTGGGAGTCAGAAGCTCCAGGGTTCAATTTCAGGCTCAGCTACTTACTACCTGGGTAACTTTGGATAAATTACTTAACCTCTCTGGGCCTCAGTTTCCTCAGTTATATAATGATAGGGTTGAACCCTTTTTAGGTGACCTCGAAGATCATTTCCAACTCTCAATTTATGATCCTTTGGTCTCGTGAATAATTGCTCACTGTGCTACAGAAAACCAATGGAAACAAGTTCACCTAAATGCAGATGGAAAATCATTTGATATAAGAATTATAAAGGAGTGGAAATGAGGATAAAATAATATTTCTGTAAATACACAAGAAAGAATAAGCAGCCATCTGGCCTGGAGAGGTGAGATGTCCAGTCTGGACCAGTCTCTAGAAGGGATTTCAAGATCCTTCCAGCTCTCTGATATAGAATTTTAAGGTCAAGATCTCCAAGATCTCTAAAAAGATCACACTTCAGAAAGATGATGCATTTTGATGCAATATAATCATCCCAAATTCCCCATTCTGGGAGTGTGACCTAGGAGAAATCTCCCTTAGGCAGAGGAAGGGAAAAAAATTGTATCCTCTGTATTAATACAACCCTCCCTAGACCAGAGAACTGGGATAAATGAGCATAAAATATGCCCCCAGAAGGTTAAGAAAGATTTTGCTTTTGCTTCCTATCCCCAATTGTATTTAAGAATTGACCTTTAACTGGAAATATTTTGTTTTAGTTTTTTAAGCTTTCCTCCTTTCTTTCAGGAGAGAAACCAATACTGGAAGGGGGAAGGAAGGAGGGACAGAGAAGACAGAGAGAGAGGGAGAGGGAGAGGGAGAGGGAGAGGGAGAGGAGAGAGAGAGAGAGAGAGAGAGAGAACAGTATCAGCTCTAGGCATTCTTGATTCCAAATTGCCAAAATTCATTCTGGAAGTATGCATCAGAAACAATGCAGTCAAATTCATTTAGGAATCAGACACAGGATTTTGCAGTCAGGCCCAGGGGAGCAGGGCTGTATTGCTGATTTTTGTAGCGGGTTTGGGGAAGAAGTAGCCCATTTCCATTTTTAAAAAATAGCCACTACAAAATGACACCCCTAAGTTGCACTAGTTTCTGAGTATATGTTTGTCATTCCTCATTACCCTGGTCGGTCTTTCTTCTTTCTTTCTTTCTTTCTTTCTTTCTTTCTTTCTTTCTTTCTTTCTTTCTTTCTTTCTTTCTTTCTTTCTTTCTTTCTTTCTTTCTTTCTTTCTTAGCAGCATATAATTTTTACTTTGTTTTCTTCTCATTTGGATGGCAGGTGTCTATTCTAGCACCCTAGACAACTTACATAAGCCAAGTTCCAGCACACACTAAAATCCTAGCAGAGGTGGGGAAGCAGGAAATAGTTTCCAGTGAAGCCAGACAAAACATTACCAGACATGGGTTTTAATGTTGCTCTGAAAGAAGGCCAGATGTGTGAATCTAGTCAAATTCTAGACAGACTTGGGTTAGACATATCTTGGTCTGGTCCGCCATCCAAGCTGTGTCCCTGGGAATTCCTCCCACCTACACTCTTCTCTTCCCATATGCTTCCACAGGGGAAGAATTACTGGGTTGGCAATTATCTTTCCATCATCAGAAGGGCACTCGAATGGCATTCGGTTTGTACCTTTCTTGTGCTCTTGCTCTTTTTCTATTATAATGATTTATATGTTGTAGCCGTTTGACTGAAAGCTCCCTGAGGCCAAGATCATTGTCTTACTCAGAGGTGTAGTAGAAAGAATTCTGGACCTGGAGTCAGGAGGCTTAGCATCAAATCCTGGCTCTAATGGGTAGTAGTTGTACAACCCCAAGGACAAGGCATTCAGAACCATAATTCAGAACTGTGTCACAATTATCCCAAACCCCCGCTTTGGGACAAGTACCGTAACATCCTTTATTTACATAATATGCAGGGGAGCAGAAGGACAGTATAGACACTTCCCCATGCTGGAGGAGAGGCAAAGCTTCTAAGGCTGCTGCATAAGCCATGGGCAGCAGGGCTGGGAAAGGAAAGAGCTCATTGAAGCCACACATTCGATACCTTCCAATTTTAATCATTTTTTATTAATTAGGTGACAAACTGTTGTTTCTACGCTGCTAAAGGACTGCAGATGGTGTCGTCATTGTTCAGTCGTTTCAGTTGTATCCCCTTCATGATCCCATTAGGGGTTTTCTTGGCAAAGAAACTGAGACAAACAAAGTTAAGTGACTTGCCCAGAGTCACAAAGCTACTAGGTGTCTGAGACCAGATTAGAATTTAGGGAAATTGGTCTTCCTGACTCCAGGCCCGATGCTCCATCCACTGTGCCACCTAGCTGCCCTGCAGATGGTGGCAGCTACCACTAAATTTGGTACCCTGGAGCAAAACCCCAGTCCTAGGCTCATCAGTCTAGCCCATTCCTGCTCTAAAGTCATAGAATCATAGATTCAGAGCTGGAAAGAACTTAGAGGTCATTGAGTCCAATCCTCACATTTTACAAATTAAAGTCTGGGATCAAATAGTAAGCTAGTAAATTCTGAGGTAGCATTTGAACTTGGCTATTCCAGGCTCCAAGCCCAAAACTCCATGGACTTTGCAACCTACTGGCTTAGCTATTTAACTTCTCTGAACCTAGTTTTCCTCAGCTGAAAAAAAAAAAGGATCTAAAAATATCTGCTCTATTTACCTCTTGGAGTTTTTCTGAGGAAAATAAATATGAGTAATTATTATCATTCACCTTTAATCTCCCCTAGTACCTAGAATAATGCTTGGTACCCATCAGGCACTTAAATGATTAGAGAATGGAATAAAATGGAAAGGAGACGCAGAAGTTTACCACCACAATTCCTCTGTTCAAGAATCTTTAGTAGCTCCCCATTTCTAGTAGGATAAAATATGAACTCCTCTTGGCATTTAAAGCCCCGCACAATGTGGGTCCACCCTATCATTCCAAGCATATTACTCACCCTCATATTCTTGGCATTCCAGCCAGATTTATTTTCTTGCTTTTTCCCTATACACAGCATGCTATCTCCCAACTCTATGCTTTTGAGTTGGGATTTGTACCAATCCATGGCTGAAATGTTCTCCCTCATTTCTGCCTTTTGGCATCACTAGCTTCTTCCATGTCTCAGATCTAGGTATCAGACTCTCCTGATGCCTCCCTCCTAGTTATTAGTACACTCCCATATTACTTTATTTTTACTTAGCATATTTTTATTGTTATTTACTCTGTGCCATATTGATCTTCCTGAAGAGAAGGGATTCTTTTTCCATTATGGATTGGACAAGATGGTTGCTGAGGTCACTTCCAACTTGGATAGCCTTTTAATCTGTGAGAAAGAAGAAGGGGAGTTTCCATGGACCCTCACTTACCCAACCTCTTTGTATCCTACGTTCCCAGGTTGTTCACTTTTTTTCTGCGTTCACATTATCATGCCTAGTGAAACATCTTCATCATCTTCTCTTGCAGGTGAACGGCATTGACCTTCGTGGTGCCTCCCACGAGCAGGCTGCAGCAGCCCTAAAGGGGGCAGGGCAGACGGTGACGATCATAGCACAATACCAACCTGAAGGTCAGTCTGGAACACAGCTTCTGAGTTTTTAATGTGTGTGTGCACGCATGTGCATGCTCAGATACAGTATGCCGAGTTATCATCCGTTATGTTTTCCTAACCATAATTGGAGAGGCATCGGTAATGGAAAACATGCCATTCAAGTCTTGAGAACTGACAGTTGCCTGTGTGTGCTACCTGTGTGCTTCCAGGCATTTGGAAATGTCTGCTTGAAAATAATTGAACAGCACCTGGCATTACTTTCATTTATTTTACATTCATATCTATTATAAGTATTTTCTTGGAAATGGAACCTACAAAAGCAAGTAATTAAGAATTAAGAGTTGCCCATGCTGTGACAATAGACCACGTTCTGTAAGCGATCTTCTCTCCTTTCTGTATTCCTTTAACTCTTTATGGCTAACATGACTTATGGACATACAACCTTTTCTCTTACACTCTCCCATCCCTGGTTTTGGTTAATTATTGTCATTCTTCTTCTTGTGCCTGCTGATGGAATTTGGAGTTACCCAAATTGTGGGCTTAGGCTTTTTAAAACCTCTGTTTCTGTGACCAAAATGGCATACAGTGAATCGAATGGGAAGAGAAGCATCGTTCAGTAAATTACTCAGTAGTTCTAAGAAAGGGGCTGATCCTTGATTAATTCAATTCTGTACAAGGTGCCATATAAAGAGCATGAAAAGGTGATTCCTACTATCAAAGAAGTTGTTGTTTTTCAGTCCTGTCCAGTGACTTGCCTAGGGTCAGGAAGACTCATCTTTGTGAATTCAAATCTGGCCTCAGATACTTATTAAATATGTGACCCTGGGCAAGTCACTTAACCTTGTTTTCTTAGTTTCTTCATCTGCAAAATAAACTAGAGAAGGACATGGCAAACCACTCTAGCGTCTTGGCCAAGAAAGCCCCAAATCAGATCATAAGGAGTCAGAAATGACTGAAAAACAACAATAAAACCAGGGTCACACAGCTAGTAAGTGTTGGAAGCTGGATTGGAGCGCAGGTCTTCCTGACTCCAGGTCCACTGTGCCACCAAGCTGCCCTCAAGGAAGTTGACTTACTTCCATTTTACCCCAAGGCACAGGGGGGGAAATACAATCTTCTTTAGTGGGTGAATATGGCAAAGTGCTGACCAGAGAACACAAGATGTCAGCATAGAAATGTTTTTTATGAAACTAGAGAGAGAATGGCTCTTTTAGTCTTCTTTTCAACCAAGTCCATTTTGTTAGCTTGCTGTGTGATATGCATTGGCCATTCGTTGCCTTGGGGAATCATGGACCCCTTCCTTTGAAGCATAAATATAAATACCAGGATCAAAGGAGCTACAGTTAAACAAAAAAAAAATTCGAATATATGCTTTGTTGTATTAGAAAAAATCATTGTCTTTCAGAACAGTGAAGCAGCCTCAGAACTGGCTGGAAAATAAAGGGTAAGCGCCATCACTCAAATGCCTATTTGGAAAAACCAAGAGACTTAATCTTTCCTAGTCTGCTCCATAAGATCTTTGCATTTCTTCTCACTCCACATGCCTGGCGTCTAATGAGGCTGAGCGGCTGTAAAGTGTCCATATCAAAATGTCAGTCAAAGAGGCCTGTGTCAGTGCAATTTGATGCATGAATTAGACTTCAAAAGGCGTTCAGAAGCCACAGCTTTTCCAGGCGATTCTGACATTTTCTTCATAGTTAGTTTTGTTCAGCCTTCAACAGCCTGCTTTTAACACTAAAGGCATGGGATAAGTGCCTAGTGACTCTTCTCTCATGGCCCAAGATTTTACTTTATAGAATTCTATGAGCTGATAAGACAGTGAAGGCCATAGCTTCGTGCCTAAGGACCTCTCCTCTCCCAAATGGAGGTCAAAGGAGCCTGGGACAGCTGTGCAAATAACTTTGAACAGAAATCCTCTCAGGCTTTATGGGTTGCAACAAAAGACCAATACGCCCTAGTTCCATCAGTTTACATCTTCATTCGTCCTCTGATCTGCTGCTGCCCAGCTTGCATTCCTTTAAGCAATCTGCTTAATTTGGGATGTAGTGCTATACTTTATCAGGAGCCTATTTTCAGAACATGTCTTGTAAGATCATCTAAATTGATTTTAAAAGAGCTTCTAAAAAAAACAGAAAAAGAAAGAAACATAAACAAGAAATAAACAAAAAAGGTATGCTTCCCTGTCTCTTCAACACCCCCCACCCCCCCAAAAAAAGAATATGGATTGGACATGCTTGTGTGGCCTGAATTTTTTGATTAATAGTCATTTTAACCAAATTCTGATTTGCTTGATTGTTTGCAATTTGTGTAGAAATGTGAATCAGGGCCTCCTTAACCCTGGCTGATAGTTTTATTTTCTTTGCTGTTTTAATATTCACAAAAACATCAATTTAAGTCATCTTATAAGACAAACTAGAACTTAAAAAACAGAGTTCTCCCTATAATCCTGGTTCTATTGGACATGAAGTATTAGTGGTTTCCTGAAGGCCAGGCAAAGATGAGGTTTTATTCTGTTCCTTCTTTGTATCTACAACAAATAGGATAATAGATTGGATCTGAAAAGACCTTAGATGTTATTGAGTTTAGTTATTGAGTTTCACTAAGGAAACTGAGTCCTGGACAGGTTAAGTGTATTGCCCAAGGTCACATAGCTAGTTAAATCAAGTCAACAAGCAGTTAAGAGCTTACTGTGATGTACCAGGCACTAGGCTAAGCCCATAGCATGTAAAGTTTGATTTAAAAAAAAAAAGTCTCTGCCATCCCAGAACTCACATTCTAATGGATGAAGACAATGTACAAACAATTTTGTACCTACAAGTTATATTGTTGTTACAGTCTAAGTGGAAAGTAAGCTCAAAGGGAAGGCTTTAGGAGGAATGGGGAAGGGGTGAGAATGGAAAAGGTCCTTTGTAGAAGGTGGGATCTGAACTGAGTCTTGAAGGAAGGAAAGGAAGCCAGGAGGTGACAATGAGAAGGGTGATCATTCTCGGCACAGGGCTCAGCCAGTTAAAAGGCATAGCAAGGAAAGGTATTCATTGAGTAGAAGGGTGACAAGGTCAGGGCTGGTACTTTGTCACTGAATGGAAGAAGGTTTGGAGTGAAGATGTACTTGAGACAGGGGGACAGTTGGAAGGGTCTTATAATAGTCTTGGTCAGGGATGATTGGTTAGGGCTCGTACCAGGATGGTATCGGGGAGAGAAGAGAGGAAGATGACCTATAGGAGAGAGGTCGGGAGACTTGCTCATGGTCACACAGCTAGTAAATATCAGAGATGGAATTGAAACCCAGGTCTGCCTGAATTCAAATCCGACACTCTACCTACTATGCCACCTTTTTTTTTTCTGTAGGGGAGAAGCAGGAGGATAAACTTGAATATTTAACATGGAGTGCCATTTTAAGCTACAATCAGTACGAGTAACTATCCTGATAGGTAACAGAACTGCCTTTATTTCTCTCCAAAGAAATGCTTAACCTCTTTTGGAGAGCAGATTCATTTCATTTAGATTCAACCTCCTATTTCCAGAGGACACATTTTATACTTCAGTCATGTTCAAAGAGAGATCATCATCATCAACCTAACTACTGGTTGATTTCCTGGTTTCCCTGAAATTCAAGTGGAGCTAGTGAGCAGTGGGAAGGGTTGTCAGCTCCTCAGAGGGGCCGTGTAGAGAAAGACAGAAACAGGGACAGAGACACGGCAAGACATGGAAAGAGAGACAGAGATGCAGAGACAGGGGCGTAGAGAGAGACAGAGACCAAGAGACCAAGACAGAGATAGAGGCAAAGAGAAAGCAAGACAGACAGGTAGAAAGAAGAAAAAGAGCAACTATTGTTCCTCCTAAACACTTCTCACCCTGAAAGTGTCATCTGTGTATTAGACCCAACTTGGTGCTATGCAGGCTTGTTCATCTCCCACAGAACTGAGTGGTGGCAATAAATCAGTCAACATACATTTATGAAGTGCCTTCTATGTGCCAGGCTTTGTGCTAGGCACTGGGGATACAAGACAAACAGGAAATAATCCCTGCCCTCAAGGAGCTTACCTTCTATCTATATTTCTGCTTCAATTTATCCTGTATTTATTAAGTACCTATTCTGTGCCTAGCACTGTGCTAGCTAGGGGTGGGGAACCTGCAGCCTCAAGGCCACATGTGGCCTTCTAGATCCTCAAGTGCAGCCCTTTGACTGAACCTAAACTTCATAGAACAATCCTCTTAATGAAAGGATTTGTTCTGTAAAACTTGGACTCAGTCAAAAGGCCGAAACCAAGGACCTAAAAGGCAACATGTGGCCTGGAGGCCTCAGATTCCCCACCCCTGGCTAGACTCTGGGAGACTCTAGAAGGATCGTATCATACAGGCCATTCCTTCAAAGAGTTTATAATCTAACATGACATCATGAGAGGGCAAAAATAATAACTCACATATCTTTAGCACTGTAAGGTTTACAAAGTAATTTTCCCCACAGCGGTCTTATAAGGCAGGGAGTGCAATTATTTTCCTTATTGTATAAATGAGATAACCAAGACTCAGAGACATGAAGTGATATACCCAAATTCATATGACCAATGAGTATTAGAATTCAGGACTCGAACCCATATCAAACAAAGTAAGATTTGTAAAGTGCACGTTAGGTGGCATATATTACGAGGTGTTTGTCCCTGTCCCTTCTCTCTCTTTTCCTGACTCTAGGACTTTTTCATGGCATCATGCTTTACCCAATATTAAAGAGCATGATTATAGTGCAGATAACATTATACAGGACATTAGAAAGGTTTCTAGAAGCACGTTAACGGACTTGAAGGATGTGCCCAATTTGACCGGGGAAGAGGCTCATTTAGAACTATAAAGGTCATTAAAAGTCATTTAGTCTAGACCCTTCATTCTAAAGATGAGAAAACCAAGGGTCAAAGAGGTTCTGGGAATTGCCCATCATTCTGCAGGTAGTAAGTTATAGAACTGGGATTCAAAGACAGATTCTCTTGATTCCAAACCCACTCTGTTTTTAATGGCACCAT